ATTGATTGATTGATTGATTGATTGAAAATCTGACACAACATGATGAGGATCGTTATCTTACAAAAAAAATTGCTAGTCTACATTATTATTATTATTCAAACACTGTTTAAATAATAATAATAATTATTATTATTATTGTTATTATTATTATTGTTCAAACATTGTTTGAATAAAATCTGTTTGAACTTTTAGAGACACAGAAACTGTTGGACCTGATTTTATCTCTTCACACTGATTATTGCAGCAGACTTTATTCCTGTCTCAATCTAAAAACCGACCAACAACTTCAGACCAATCAGAACTCAGCTGCTCGCCTTTTAACCAGAACCAAGATGTCCGACCACGTCACAGCAGTTTCAGTCTCGTTACATCGACTTCCTGTTTGTTTTAGGATAAACTTTAAAATCTTATTCATTAAATTTCAGGCTCTTTGTGGCTCCAGATCACATCACAGACCTGTTAGTCCCGTATGAACCTCTAAATAGTCTGAGATCCTCAGGCAGAGGTCTTCTGTCTGTCCAGAGTCCAGACTGAAGACCAAAGGGGGGCAGAGGCTTAGAATCAGGCCTTGAGACTCTGAACGACCTGCAGAGGATTTAAATCTGTCTGAGTCTCTGCTAAAAACACTTAGTTTGATTGTTCAGCGCTGCGGTTTACACGTCTGAACTTTTCTACAGCCGTGTTAGTAACATGTGGCGTGTAGGACCTTCCCTTCAATCGCTTTGATAAACTCTAAAGTCAGGAAAATATTATTTTGAGGGTTGTAAATTAATTCTTCCTCCCAAAGGACCCAAATATGAGCACATCTATATTCAGGAGCAAAACTCGCTCTCGTACAGGAGCCTTTACATCGTTTATGTACTTTATCTTAAAGTGACAACCCACTCAGTGAGTTCCAAGAGAAAACCAGCAGGGAGCGTGATCTTCACATTTTAACTGAATGACTGAAACATGTTTTGGTAATAAAGAGACAACGTACAGAAATGACAAAGAAAGTGTTGTTTATTTCATGTTTACAACTAAACAAATTGAACAAAATTGAACTTTCATAATTGTAAAAAGTATGTGCTCAGTAACCTTCCTAACGTACCTGTTATTACAAAATCGTTCCCCTACAGAGCCGGAGGGACGCCGTTATAGACGTGCACATGTGCAAGTACTAGGGCTGTAACGGTACGTGTATTTGTGTCCCCCTGTGAGACTTTCGGTTCGGCACGACCCTGTACCGAATTATGGGGCGCAGGATATTATTTTATTTTATTTTGTTTTATTTTAATTCAGTTTTTGTGAGCTGAACCATTTAAAATATCTAGTTCCCCGACTGACATAATTGAGTGACGGACGAGTCCAACCGTAAATCTCCGCTTTCACTTTGTGCAGCACATTCTCGCATTTGGATAACGTGGCAAGTGAGCCTGACGAACCTGAAGACCAACCCGCAATCCTTAAGTCCTCCGTTTGGGAACACTTTGGTTTCAGGGTAAAATACGAAGATGGAAATAAACAAGTTGTCAAGACAAAAGCAGTGTGCTGACACTGCAGAACAGCGGTCGGGTATGTACTTGGAAACACGTCTAACATGCTAACTCATCTAAAGCGACACCACCCTAGTTTGAACATCTAGAAAGCAATTTGGTGCAAACTACGATATCGCCATCGTTTAAAAAGAAAGAGCGTTTCCCTGACCATCACGCTAAAGAAATAACCAACGCCATTGGAGTTTTCATAGCAGCCGATCTACGACCGTGCTCCGTCGTTGAAAACAGAGGATTCAAACACATGATGAAGGTGATTGAGCCGCAGTTTAAAGTGCCTTCTCGTCCCTACATGAGTGAAGTCATCATACCACGTCTGTATAAACAAGTTAAAGCCACTGTTGTTCATTCAAAAATGTGTAAAATAAAAAGCAAGATTTTATTTTTTAAATTTTACATATTTCTATTTTCATTCAAACAATGTAAAAAAGCAGAATTTTATATATATTTGTTTCATTCAAAAATTGTGTAAAAAGAGTTAACTGCTGTGGTGGTATGTTTTAATAAGGTTACCAATAAGTAAAAGATATTTAATAGTTGTCTATTTTTTTCATTACTGTACCGAAAAAAGGGCGGCACGGTGGTGTGGTGGTTAGCACTCTCGCCTCACAGCAAGAGGGTTGCCGGTTCGATCCCGGGCGTGGGAGCCCTTCTGTGCGGAGTTTGCATGTTCTCCCTGTGTCAGCGTGGGTTCTCTCCGGGCACTCCGGCTTCCTCCCACAGTCCAAAGACATGCAGATTGGGGACTAGGTTAATTGATGACTCTAAATTGTCCGTAGGTGTGAATGTGAGTGTGAATGGTTGTCTGTCTCTATGTGTCAGCCCTGTGATAGTCTGGCGACCTGTCCAGGGTGTACCGTGCCTCTCGCCCAATGTCAGCTGGGATAGGCTCCGCCCCCCCGCTACCCTCAAGAGGATGAAGCGGTTAGAAGATGAATGAATGAATGTACAGAAAAAAACCGAACCGTGACTTGTGTACCGTTACAGCCCTAGCAAGTACCAGACTCTCAGTTGTATGTTGTACAGACAGAGATTGTTAAAGACATATTTTAGATCGCTGTTGTGAAAATAACGTTAGTCTTGTGTTCGCAGTTCCTTGTTTAAAGCAGAAATAGAAACTTTTCTACTACTTAGCGCATTAGCTCGTTAGCTAATGCTGTCTCCTGATCAGCTCCTTAATCCTAGATCAATAGAGAATATAGGAACATTTTAGGAGGAGCACTGAGAGGAAACATGTTCTGTGTTGAGATGATCAGACACACGATGGATCATACATGTTGGTTTCTGGCTGCAGCAAGTTTACATAAGTTTATCATGTTGATTAAAAATGTCTCTGCCTGTTGATACTTTGACTCCGATTAGTGCTGAAATGATCCTGAGGACAGGGACATGAAACCCCCGGGGACAGAGAAGACAAGTGTCCTGACTCTAAGTCAGACCCCGCTGACCCAGGCTGTGATCTGCTTCTCCGCTACAAGAACCAGAGGAAGGGCGGGACATCAGTGGGCGGAGACTGTTGGCCTTCTTCCAGCGTCCAGACACCCCTGGATGTGGAGACGTGGACTTTGAAGTGGAAATTATGACTTTTCAGCTAACTTAGCTAACATGCTAACTGTGCTCACTAAAACTGCAGCCAGAAACAAACAATTATGGTTCACTGTCCATTAACTGTCTAATTATTTAAACAAAGAACACACCTTCCTGCGGTGGTCCTTCTACAATGAGCCGCGGTTGAAGTTACTGTATTCTGTTAAGATCAGGTAGTTGATACGTAGACGCTAGCTAGCATTAGCGTAGCTAGTTAGTTGCAATGTTGACTCCTCCCACTGACTGTGAAGTGATTGGCAGAATTAGAAATTGACAGGGGATTGTGAGCCTCTGATTGGCCACATTAAAAATGATTGACAGTTGACCCGCCCTCTCTAGCATGCCCACACACACTCTAAAACGGCATCTCTCCGGCTGTGCCCCATGACGTTTGTCAGCTCTGTCCCTCGTTTTTCAACATGAAAAAAGAAACACCTACAAATTTGTGAGTCGCACACCAGTGAATCGTTGTAAAAGCTCGCACTGACTCAAAAAGGTCACAGTTTGGAGCTCTGGATGAATCTGTTCCTGCTCCACACAGCGCCTGAAGTTAATGTTTTCTTCACTTGATTATTGTTCTAACAGTTTTAAACCAGATGGACGTTCTCTGGTCTCTTTCCAAAAATCACTGTCAACACTATCATCAGTATCAGACTGTAAGTTTGGATCTGGATCTGAGTCCTTGGCTGGTTTTGGTCCTCCACAGTCGTCTCCATCAGCGTCAGACAGATGACCAACACAATGATGGTGTTTAAAGCTAGTGTACCAGGTGAACCGTCGGTCGCACACGCTGCAGTCGAACGGTTTCTCTCCCGTGTGGACTCTTGTGTGATGAGCCAAGTTGTCCTTCCGAGGGAATCTTTTCCCACACTCGGAGCAACTGAATGGTTTCTCTCCCGTGTGAGTTCTCATGTGTCTTTTCAGGTGTCCACTACCGATGAAGCCGCTGCCGCAGACTGAGCAACGTAATGGTTTCTCACCTGAGTGGATTTTGAGATGTGCTTGTAAATGTTTGCTCCCTGGAAATGATTTCCCACAGACAGAGCAGCTGAATGGTTTCTCTGAATCTGAAGGAGGTTCTCTGGTCTCTGTCCAATCGTTGCTGTCGTCAGTCTCAGCTTCAGAAGATTCTCCATCAGTGTCTGGCTGTAAATCTGGATCTGAGTTCCCAGCTGGTCCTGGTTCTCCACAGCCCTCTCTGGCGGCGTCAGACTGGCGGCCGACACACTTGTGGTCTTTCAGCTGATAGTACCAGGTGAACTTTTTGTTGCAGACTCTGCAGCCAAAGATTTTGTGGACCTCCAAATGTTTGGTCAGAGTCCGTCTCCAGGCGAACTCCTGACCGCACATCGGGCACCTAAACTGGGTCTGTCCCGTGTGGACCCTCATGTGCTGGATTAAAACCTCGCTGTCGATGAAGCTGGCATTACACACTGAGCAGTGGAATGGTGTCTCTCCTGTGTTACTCATCAAATGAGAATCTAACTTCTTATCTCTAACTGACCAACCAAACAGTTTCTCCCCCGTGTGACAAGCCATGTGGGATCGTAAACGTTCACACTTCACAAAGGTTTTACCACACACTACGCAACCGAATGGTTTCTCCCCTGCGTATGACTTCCTGTGCGTCTGCAGAGTGTGACTGTCTTCAAATCTGTGACGTGGTTTCTCCTCAGTCTCAGAGACATCCTCTGTTTTCACCAAGGGAGGCTGCTGACGAATATCTTGGTCAACAACGCTGGGTTCAGTTTTGGTCTTGACATCAGAGACTCTTTTATTACTCAGATACGTGAAACCTGATGAATGCTGCCTGGTCTCTCTCCAAAACTCACTGTCATCAGTCTCAGGTCCAAACAAATCTCCTGGTTGTAAACCTGGACCTGAATGCGAGTTCCTAGCTGGTTCTGGTCCTCCACAGACCTCTCTTTCAGCTTCTGTCTCCATCTTTAGAGTCGAGCTGTTAACTGGAGGCTCCGCCCCTCTGTTCTCCTCAATCTGATGAAAACGTGAGAACTGACGACCACGGTACTGATGGTTTCTGAGCCAAGTGATCGTTTGTGATTTCTCTCCTGTATGAGTCCTCATGTGTCGGTCCAGACCCCCCTTGAAACCAAATCTTTTCCCACACTCAGAGCAGCTAAACGGTTTCTCTCCTGTGTGAGATCTGGCATGTATTTTCAAATGCGTCTTGCGGCCAAATCTTTTCCCGCACTCGGAGCAGGAGAACGGTTTTTCTCCCGTGTGGAACTTCATGTGTCTCGTCAGATTTCCCTTGATGCCAAATCTTTTCCCGCACTCAAAGCAGCCGAACTGTTTCTCCCCTGTGTGAGTCACCATATGTTTCTGTAAGTTACCGCTCTCCGTAAAAGATTTCCCACAAATAGAGCAGCTAAACCGTTTCTCTCCTGTGTGAGTTGTCACATGTCTTTTCAGACTTCCCTTGGTGCTAAATCGTCTCCCGCATCCGGAGCAACTGAATGGTTTCTCTCCTGTGTGGATTTTCATGTGCGTTTGTAAACTTTCGTTCTCTGTGAAAGATTTCATGCAGGCGGAGCAACTGTATGGTTTCTCTCCTGTGTGGGTTCTCATGTGTCTCTTCAGATGTGCCTTGATGCGAAATCTTTTCCCGCACTCGGAGCAGCTGAACGGTTTTTCTCCCGTATGGATTCTCACGTGTTCCTTCAGGATCCTTTTGAGGCCAAATTTTTTACCACACTCAGAGCAACTGAACGGTTTCTCTCCATCTCTGACAGACACATCATCATTTTTCAAAGAGTTTAAACCCGATGGAGGTTCTCTGGTCTCCGTCCAATCATCGCTGTCATCAGTCTCAGCTTCAGATGAGTCTTCAGGCACTGGTCCTGGTCCTGGTCCTGGTCCTCCACAGTGGTGTCTCTCAGACTGAGGTTTCTCTTCATCTTCTTCACTCTTCACAGGGACAGGAGTGAATGTGAACTTGGTGATATCAGCCTCCTCCAGCCCTTGAAGCTGCTCTCCCTCCTGACTGCTCCACAGTTCCTCCTCTTCCTCTTTAATGTGTGGGGGCTCTGGGTCCTCCTGGTCCACACTGGAGCTCCACTCCTGCTGCTCCTCTTTAACAGCGATCACTGTTTGGACGTCTGGAGTTGAAGCTGAAACACAGACAGACAGTTGTTAGTGTATATTCGGACATTTCAACTCCATTATCGAACATAAATTACCAAACATTTTAAGGTTCCTCAAATTAGCGAGAAGCTACAGCTCCTTTTTTGCAGATTCGCATAGTTTGTGAAACACTCTTAGTCTGGCCCCTCCCCTATGACCTGACCAGGAGCTACAGCCCCTGACAGCAAAGCTCCCTGGGACACAAGTGTAGCACCACATTAAGGCAGCGAATTTTAAAAGTAAAAGTCCTGCAATCAAAATCTGACTCAATCTAATCAGCCACACTGATGAATCGGGAGACCTCTCATGGGCATGAGGAAACAAGTATTCAATTATGGACGTCACTCTTCGTTCAGCGTATGCAGCACTCGTCACCACAGGGTGAGAGTTTACTTGTAATGGTGGGTGGAGTGGTGTGTGACATCACGGCATGTGGTTCAGTCATAAAGCAGTCAAATAAAGCTTGATGAATATTTCATTGTTATTGCACACAAATATTAAAAAGATCAAGTCAACATTAATAACCATTAAGAAATAATTACACATTTACATTTTTCAAAAAATATCAATAGACTTTAACTCCTCTTAACTTCTTTAACTGCTTTAAAGCTGGCCCTTGGCATCTGTAATAAAATGGAGAGTCTCGTACTGGTGCTTAAATCTTTATTTCTCCATATGCACCGTGAAAACTATAAGTTGAAATACAAAAAAAGGTTAATTTACACGCTCATGAATTACAAGACAAATTTACAAACATTTCACACACAAAAATACATTCATAAACAAAGCTAATATTATGATTAAAATACAGAATAAACACCCCAAATTGAACAAATACACCAAGCAAAACGTACCTCATTCCACTACCAAGGGGGCTAATTGTTTGATATTGTCTGTTGGGGCCGTCTACTTCTCTACCAATAAACAAAACAACAGCGGTACATAGAAGGCCTCCAACAGCGGTGATAGTTGCCACAATGGAAATAAAACTCAACACATGGGGTAAACTTACTCTATATTAACCAGGAAATCAGGAATCAGCGGCGGGGAACCGGAGCAGCACAGACGCCACGCCAAACCGAAGCAAACAAAGTGTGTGCAGTGCAGGCGATGAGGAAGCGGCACACAGGCGGAAACTATACAACTTGATTACTTCCTCACCTTCCCACACTTGCAGTTTCTACATCAACAATACAGGACTGCCACCTAGTGGCCGTTCCAAATAATTCACTGTCATTCACACTCCCACCAATCATGTTATGATGAATTTATAACCACACGAATCATACATGATTTTTAAAATAAGTGCCTGACTAGAAGGGCCTATAATGTTTTTGACAACACTGAATTGATTCACACGTTAACAGTTTGGCATAAAAACATTACACCGCAATTCAGTCACTCTCAAGAAGGAGAACCAACTTCTGAATGGGCCTTTCGAGGATGGTAGGTTTGGGAGGGCCATCTGATTTTGCTGGTGGTTTCTGATCTGCAACTTGTACCTTGACCTTACAAACTAGTCCATCACTTCCTTGTACGGTTTCGACCACTCGTCCCAGCTGCCACTGGTTTCTTGGAAGAGTATCATCCTTGATAATAACAATGTCATCTACTTTAAGGTTGCGCCGAGGCACGTGCCACTACTGCCGTTTAGAAATGTTCAAGAGGTATTCCCTCTTCCAACGGCTCCAGAACTGTTCAATCAAATACTGCACTTGTCGCCACCGTTTTGTTGCATACATATCTTCCTTTACGAATTTCCCAGGAGGCGGGGAGGCGATTTTGGTTTTCATCAGAATAAGATGGTTGGGGGTCAAAGGCTCTAGTGATTTTGGATCGTTAATTCCATCTATATTCAACGGACGGCTGTTAACGATGCCCATAGCTTCATAGAACAGAGTTTGCAGTGAGGCGTCATCAAGTCTACCTGGACAGAGAGAGAGTGTGGCATTTAACACATTTCGCACAGTCCGGATTTGGCGCTCCCAGACGCCACCGGCATGACTTGCTGCAGGGGCGCTGAAGATGAACTCGCATTGCTTATCAGCTAGGTAAACTTCCAGTTGGCTGGGGTCACACTGCTTTAGTGCTTCTCTGAGCTCATTTCTGGCTCCCACAAAGTTTGTGCCCTGATCACAGCGGAGTTGGCGCACAGCTCCTCTGAGGCTAATGAAACACCTTAAAGCATTGATAAAACGTGTCTGTCGACAGATCTTCGAGCATTTTGATATGAACAGCTCAAGAAGAGAAGCAAGTTAGGATCAGTCCATACCTCTTGTATTCCTTGCGTGCCCTCTTGATGAAGAATGGGCCAAACACATCCATACCACAGTATGTGAACGGAGCCGAGACTTCAATGCGTTCCCTTGGGAGCTCAGCCATTCGTTGCTCCTCTGCTGGACGTCGGAGCCTCCTGCATCTCACACAGTTGTATATCAGCTTGGCGACTGATTTGCTCCCACCAATGACCCAAAACCCACTGGCTCTGAGCTCCATTTGAGTTTGACTTCGGCCTTGATGATAAATTCTGTTATGGTAATAAGACAGAATGAGCTTGGTAATGTGAGAGTTTTTTGGAAGGATAACTGGATGTTTTAGTTCTTGGCTAAGAGATGACTACTTTAACCTCCCACCAATCCGAAGGATTCCCTTGTCTACAACAGGATCGAGGCGAAAAAGAGGACTAGAACTAGGAAGGCTGCCTCCTCTTTCCAGCGTTTTCATCTTTTGAGCAAAGGCTTGCTGCTGGGCAAGTTTAATAACTACTTCAGCCGCTCTGCCTCGTTCATCTATAATCACATAATCACTGTGGTGTTCTTGCTTAGATGCCAGCCTCTTGATTCTTGCAACAACCTTGAGAAGCCTTGTCCAGGAAGAAAATCGACTCAAACTGCTGAGCATGTCCATACAATTACTGGTGGTGGTTGTATTTACTGTATTTACTGCTCTGATCTCAGGGTCACCAACCAGCAATTCAGCTGAAGGGGTGAGTCTTGGTTTCACTTCTTGCTCCCACAAAAACTTGGGTCCTGACATCCAGCTAGTTGAGGAGATGTCAGAGGCATCAAGCCCTCTAGAGGCATAGTCCGCTGGATTTTCTGATGTATCAACATAATGCCACCGACTGGGATCCGTTTTTTCCTTTATCACTTGGAGGCGATTTGCAACAAAAACATGAAACCTTCTTGCATCGTTATTGATATATGCCAATACGACTTGAGAGTCTGTCCAAAAGAACTCCTCATCAATTTTCATTTCCAATTCATTTTTCAACATGACACTTGTTCTGGTGGCGACCACAGTGGCAGAAAGTTCTAATCTTGGAATGCTCATGATTCTTGTAGGTGCTACTCTCGCCTTGGCCATCACAAGGCTGCAGTGGACTTCATTTCTGTTAATGTACCTTATATAGGAACATGCACCATAGCCAACATTACCGGCATCCGAAAAGTGATGTAGTTCTGGTCCTCAAAATGTTGCTGAAGTCATGTGGGTGATAACATCTTGGAATTGTAACTGCTCTCAATTTCTGGAGACCACTCTTCCACTCCTCCCACCGTGGATATAAGTCCTTAGGAAGGGGCTCATCCCATCCAATACCCATACGACACAGTTCCTGTAAAATGCACTTTCCACGCAAGGTGAATGGAGAGAAAAATCCAAGCGGATCAAACAGAGAAGCGATGACTGAGAGAATACCACGGCAAGTGGAAGGCTGGTCCTTAAAGTTGACGTCGAAACTGAAGGTGTCATGTTCTACTGACCACTGAATCCCAAGAGCACGTCCAACAGATGTCGCATCCAGGCTGAGATCAAGGGATTTAGCAGTTGTCGCCCTCTCTGTGGGGTCAACACTGTTGAGGACTTCTTGCTTGTTTGAATTGAACTTGTGCAGATGTAGACCTCCCCTTTTGCACAACCTTTGTGCTTCAACAATCAAGTCCTTAGCTTCTTTGATTGAAGGGACGCTGGTTAGGCCGTCGTCTACATAAAAGTTCTTTTCAACAAAGGCTGATGCTAAGGGATGATCAGACTTGTATTGTTGAGCCAAGTACTTAAGGCCAAAGTTGGCACAGCCAGGGGATGAGGCAGCGCCAAAAAGGTGAACCATCATCCAATATTCTTGTGGTTCTGTTTCCAGATCTGCACTATCCCACCAGAGAAACCTCAGATAGTTCCGTACTTTAGGAGAGACAAAAAACAGGTGAAACATCCTTTCAATATCACAGACCACGGCCACACTCTCTTTCCAGAAATGACAAAGCACACCCACAAAGGAGTTAATCAAGTCAGGGCCAGTCAACAGGGTGTCATTTAGAGAGACTCCACAGAACGTTGCTGAGCAATCAAAAACCACCCTTAGCTTGTCTGGATTTTGTGGGTGGTATACACCGTGGTGGGGTATATACCACACAGTCTCTCCCTCAGATGTCGGGGGGGGGGGGGCAAGTTCTGCGTCACCTCTTTTGATGATTTCCTCCATGAATGCCTTATAATGGTCATAATACTGGTTGTTGGCCTTCAATTTCCTCCTTAGATGTTGCAAACGAACAACAGCCAGTTTTTTGTTATTTGGGAGTGAAGGAAGAGTGCTACTCTTGAAGGGGAGGGAAAGCTCATAATGTCCATCTTCTCTCTGCTTTATGTTATCACTAAGGAGTTGTATAAAATGAACATCGTCTTGTGACACATATTTGTCTTCATAACTCTTCTCATTGAAATCTGACTCAAGGATCTTAAGAATGTCAGTGGCTGATGGTACTGGCACTTCCTTCACTGCGACTCAATGTACGAAGCTCTGGTTTCCCTGTCTGTCAAGATGGAGGTTGGATGATCCAGTTATACTCCACCCAAGCTCAGTTCTCTGTGCAAAAGGTTCATTTTTGCCGCCTCTAATGACCTCCAGAGGTGCTAGTGCTGAGGGACAATCATATCCGATGAGCAGTCCCACTTCGTACTCTTGCAGTGGGGATAGTTTGTCGGCCAG